GGGTGCTTCCCCCGGCAGCAGCGGCGGCCCCCCCGCAAGGTGGCACCCGCCCACAGACACCCAACTTGGGCAGTCCCAGGGGGGCACCGCAGTCATGGAGGGAAGCACTGGAACCCGGTGCTGCTCAGGCAGGCAGGCAAGCTTCAGGGGAAAAGCAAGTAAAAGATCGGGCTTGACATGATTTTTTTTCTTCCTTCTGTGGATCCTGCCTTCCCAGGCTGCTGCTGGGCTGCCTGAACAGTCCACCTGCACAGCCCCTGAGCCTCACAGATCCCGGTGCTTCCCTCCGTGGCTGTAGGGTAGGAAACTAAAACTCCTTGGAGGTGTTTTACTTTGCAGTGCCCCGAAGTCATTTGCGGCATCCCAAAGTCATTTAAGGCGCATTATGCTGCAGAATGCGCTACAGTGCCTGGAATTCATGTGCAATATGCCGCCAAATGTGCAAAAAGCAATGCCATTAAGGCAGTGCAAAAGGCATTTAACCCACTTTAAACTCACTTTAAAGTGTCATCTACAAACACCCTGAGGTGTCAGCTTTGAGCAGGCTGGGCTTCCAACAAAGAAAACAGTCCCTGGGAAGGGCCCCATTGTTCTGCACCCAAACAAGAAGACTTTGAAGGCACAGCCTAAAACCCAACATGATGGTGTTGTCATGGAAATGCAGTGGAGAGCAGTGACCACCTGGATCCTGACCTGGCTGGGAGCCATGTCACAGCTTTGCCCAGGGCAAAGTGCAGGCACAGTGGCAATGGAGTGGGCCTGGCTTGCACCTAAAATACCTCATTAGCAGTCAAGAAGGATGGCTGAACTGAGGGCCAGGGCCACCAGGTGGCAGTGTTGCACTGGCTCAGAGACAGAACAGTCCTGGGAGGGACTGGGGAGATGGGGCACCACTTAGCCAGCTCCCTGGGGCCCACGCTCCAAGTGAGGGCAGCGGAGCCAGCTAGGAAGAGGTGTTGAGGCTCCAGGGGGTCACCTCCATGCCCCACATCCCTGGGGCTCATGGCCAGAGCTCATGCCTGGAGCCAGGTACCTCCATGGGGTCAGCCCAGGCAGAGCGCATAACCCATGAATGAGTCTCTCCCCTCTACCCATTCAACAATGGCCAAAGCTCTCAACTGGGACACAGGAGCCCTGAGCTCATGGCTTCTGCCCAAGAGGGTTTGAGCTCTCACCTCCCTGGGGAAAGCTCCACTGAAGGCAGCAAGGACAGAGTTTCCTGTGGGGGGGTGGGGAAGGGAGTTGCTTTATGGTGAGGAAGAGAAGAGACCTGCCCCTGCAGCATCTGTATATATTTAATTATGTTTAGTGTTCATAGGAGCCAAAACTTGAACTTGGGTCTCCCCCAACCCCCAGGCCATGTCCTGCTTCCCACTGACTCCATGAGTTGTTACTTCACTCGGAGAGAGAGAGAGCTCTGGGAGGAGATAGGGTTCAAGTTCCCCCATGTAGAACAGAGAATTGAACCAGGGTGTCCCACACTGTGGGCAAGTGCTTTGAGAGCTTGGCTACAAGAGGGAAAGGTCGCCCCTTATCTACCTGTGCTGAAAGTAAGGTTCATTTGGGGGCGGGGGGTGCACTCTGAAAATGGTCAGGGCTGGATCCTTGGGATCTGGCTCTGCAGACCCAGGCTGCAGGCCATAGACTCCAATCTACTTGGGACATGGGCAGGCCTGGGCACACCTGGCAGCAGACAGTTGTATATACCTGTGAAAACTTGGGCACCAAGGTATTTGAGGTACCTCATGATTAGGCAGCAGCTGAACGGGGATTCAAGGACATAAGGGTTGGACACAGGCATTTACTGAGCAGTCAGATGGGATTTGGGAACTTCAGTTATTTGGGGCAGTGGATCTGGGCAGCTCCCTGGACAGGGAGTGATGTCCCAGAGGCCTCATTGCACAAGATGGCTCACACCTACATGAATGAAACTGTGCTGAGCCAGTGGCTGCTCTGATTTCCCTTGTCCCAGGGGGCCTCCCAATGTGACTCCATTGTTTAGGAGTGCTGCTATGTATGCCCGGAAGCAGCAGTTCCTCAAATACATGGGCTGTGGAGCTAATGAGGTGCCTCTTGGTGCTGACATGCTCTTGGTGCATGCCAGCAGTGGAGTTTACAGCAGCATGGCCCAGACACTTCCTCAATGAAATAAACAGTATTGGATCATCTTACAAGGGAAACTTAGACAACCAGGAGACTGGGACAAAACTGGGGGGCTGCTGTGGGTGGCAATGAGGAGGCAGATCATCTCTGGCTCTTAGAGATGATGTATTAATGCTGGGCCTCCAGGCCCAGGCTAGACATGGAAGAGGCACACCCACAAGCATTAATACATCATGAACTGTGAGAGAGGCCCCAGGGTCCTGTGCAAGAGTCCCAGGAGGCTTGTGTGGATTGACACTGGCGTCCCAGCTGCCCTGGCCCTTCCTCTCCCCCATCACTGGGTTGGAAGGTGCTAACACAAAGTTGCTTGAGCTCTAACAAGACAAGTCTCCCTTTGACCACAGAACTGGGGCCCCCAGGTGAGATTTCCACAGTGCTCACAATGCACGGGGCACCCAGCACTCAGCTTGGGGCTGAAAGTAAAACAGGCAAAGGGCCAACCCCCAAAGTAGCTTTGCTCTGAGAACTGTGGCTTTTCTTGGTGCCCTACCCACACCATTTTCATGTGGCTGAGTCACTGCCTCAGCAAGGAGCAGCCTGATGACAGGGGCCAAGCTGGCTCTTGAGGAATGTTTCATTTCATGCTGTTTCATTTCCAGGACAGAGCCCAGACATTTTGGCACCCTAGAAGGGTTGGCTCAACAGTAGTGAGAGGTCCAGGGTGGGAAAAAATGCCCTTTGGCCAGTGAGAAGGGGCTATGAAGGGTGTGCCCTGATGATGGAATCACATCTGCACCCAGCAGACACTTGGGGACAGGCCACAAGCTTCAGCCCCTTCCTTAGTGCAGGGAACAGCCCGTTACCCATCCTAGATGGGTGGAGATGCAAAGTAGGAGGCTGTCCAAACAGCATATAGGGGTGCTGAATTAAAAGCAGTGACCCTATGGTACAAAAATGCTGTCTTTACTCTGCTCTGGCTTGGCTTACCCAGCAGGGAATACTCAGCACCAACTCCAACAAGGCATGAATTGTTATATTTTCTTATATACAAAATGCACCTTACACCCCACCCTCCAAAAAAAATCAGTTCTCCAAAGTTGGGTTGCATGAATTAAACAGGGAAGCTGTTTTTTCTGCTCAGGACTGAAGCATCCTTGTTTGATACCTGCTCCACAATGCAGCACCGGTGACATTGCTATTTCGGCAGCTGAGGGAGTCAATTGACTTAGTAGCTCATTGTTTTTCACTCCAAGGGCATTAATGATCATCTCTCCTTTGTAATGACCTTGATGTTCCATTCATCAAGCTAACCTTTCTGATGGTAATTTTGCTGTCTGCTAGCAGTTCCTGGTCTCTCTTCTCCTATTTGACAGCCTAAGCAGGAAAGGGAGGGTATGTCATTTGAAGGTTAGTCTCTCCCCTCCTCTATGCAGCCATAGCTCTGGACAAATCTCTTTTTCTTCATTCTGCCTTTAAAAAATAAGTGTGTATTATATTCTGGAGCATGTTGTATATGAAAAAATATGGTAATCATTCCCAGGAGCCCAAGCAGAACATTGTTCCTGGCAGGGTGATGGGTGTAGCAAACCAAG